TGTAGCCGCCGTAGGCGACGTCGGCAGCTATCCGATGATGGGGCGGACTCGCTGTACTGTACAGCTTCTTTGGGCTGGGTACTTGTGCCCTCTCGGGAAGAGAAGTTGCAGAGTGATATGTAGATGAGGCGGGTTACAGATAGTGCGTGTGAGCTGTAGACCAGTACGGCGCTAGCGGATCTATGTGTCTCACACGGCATTGTGCACAGACGTAGATGCTCCGTTACACAGGATAATACACGAGGGGGTGTAATCTGCCTCCGTATTAAATCAATCTCAATTCTAACCTTTAGGCTCCATGCCGCTCCATCCCCGGCTGGCCAACGACTGGCCGATTGCCTGTATAACTTCGAGCAGCCCAATAATATATAAATAATAGAATACATATATTTGTTTGTATATGTATATATACTTGATATATATATTCTTTATATATATATATATATATAATATATATATATATAGTATATATATATATAATAATTTAACTATAAATGTATATAACATATAATGACACTGCTGCCCGATCCCTATAACTTACCTACTTACTTTGTACTCGTTACTCGGGTAGCCTCTTCTTGCAGCCATCTCTGGGCCTGGGCGACGTCGTGGCGCCGTACAGGGAGCCGTAGGCGGCGCCAGTCTTGGCGAAGTTCAGAGCGCTGCTCCTCTGTCCCTCTCCGGCAAGGTGACCTCTCTTCACGGGGCCGTATTGTGTGGTAGTGTAATAGGCGGGTGCGTGTGTGTAGCCGTGCCCGTAGTTGCCTCCATTGTTACCTCCATAGTTACCTCCATAGTTACCTCCATTGTTACCTCCGTAACCATCGGCGGCATAGGCGCCGGGGTTACTGCCGTAGGTCTGGGCGCAGACTGCGGCGAAGGCGAGTGCCAGCAAGATCAACTTCATGATCTAAACACAGGGGGAAAAGAAGCACCGGATTAGAGTTACACTAAGAAAGGGGGCGAGAGTCTGATATGACGAGAGAGAGAGAGGGGGGGGGTGAAAGAGAGAAAGAGAGAGAGAAACTTGATGAATCGAGGGAGGGAGATATAAGGAGCTGTAAGCGAATGTGGAGGAGAGCTGTCTGGTGCAGGGAATGTATAGTGACCTGTCCGTGAATCAGCGTTACGCGCATAAAATAATATAGAACAAAATAGAATAGAATAGAAAAGAATAGAATAGAATGGAATGGAATGGAATGGAATGGAATAGAATAGAATAGGGAGAGAGGAGTGCCACACACCCTGCTGGCAGCTGCATATGACGATGACGCGTCAAACCTCAGCGGTGATGCGTTGAGACATACTGAGACACTCTCTAAGAAATGTTGAAACACTCTAAGACATGTTAAGACTGTCAATGTCTAAGACATGTTGAAACACTTTATAAGAACAGACATGTTGAGACACTTTATAAAACATATTGAGATACTGTTAAAAAGCGAAAATGTTCCGTAGAAATTGTCTGTTAGTCATAGTGAAACGTTGGCAACTGTACACATGGAGACTTTTATATAAGACATGCTTTGATGCTTTGTAAAACATGATTAAATACTATCGAAAGCATAAATAACAGGAACAGTACGCGAATAGAGATCTATCGAGATCTCTCTATTCCTCATGAGATTCAGTCTAATGTATGCTGAGACTACCTGAGACTACCTGAGACGGTGTCTCAGACACGCTGAGACAATATCTCCTGATCTCAGCGTCATCCCTAACCAACAGAAGCTGTGACTCGACGCCGCATGGTGGCCGCGTCACAAAAGCGTCTGCTAACTATGCACATGCTCGCGCCACGTGAGAGCGCCCGTACTTACGTTGTTGATAGCGAGTCCGATGAACAGAGGAGAGCGAGAGAGGATGGTGATGCAGCTGATGCTACTGATGCTGCGAGTCCGAATCCGCGCCGCGCTTATATAGCGGTGGCGGCGTGAACTTGACACGTATCCGGCTGGTCGTCCGACTATGACGGGGCACGCGCGCCGAGGCGACGGCGGCGGCGGCGGCGGCAATACAGTTCCGTCGAGTGTTACGTCATCATCTACGTCGCCGTCGTTTTTCGGGGGCGCGGCGACTACAAAGGACGGTAGTCATCGGTGTTATGTTGATGCGCACGCGCGTGTGTGTGTGCGTTGTGTGTGTGTGTGTGCGTGTGTGTGTGTGTGCGTGCGTGTGTGTGTGCGTGCGTGCGTGCGTGCGTCAGTGTGTGTGTGTGCGTGCGTGCGTGCGGGCGTGCGTGCCGTGTGTGTGTGTGTGTGTGTGTTGTATGCGATCTTGTTAGGCAGGAATTGCTCGATAAACACGCGATGTGTGTGCGCGAGCTGCAATTTACCGCCGATTTCGCGAGAGCGTTTAAAGAGAATCGCACGCAACCCTGAGCGAGTAGAAAAAAAGCGAGTGCATGGGGAGCGTACGGGAGAAGGCGGCGGGGTTTAAATGACGGGCTGCCTCTGTTCATCGAATTGACGGGCTGACACTTAGGAAAGTCTTTCTTGAAGTAAAGATCCTCGGGATGCAAAAAATCTCAGTGACCGAAGTGAAGTCATTATAGGAGCATATGGTGAGGCGGGCTAAGAGGATAGATAGATGATAGTTCGAACGCTGATGACTTGGTGTAGAGAGTTAATCTGGGGAGTGGAGATTGAAGATGGTACAGGACATTGCTTTTATTGCTTTAAACGTAGGATGGTATCAGATTTAGAAGGAGTCCCTTTGATGAATACTTGTTGGATGAAACATCGCCGTTTGTTCAGTTCGAGTATTTTATATTTGAAACCCCTCAGCATCATCCACCCCTTGGGTAGATTTTCCCATCGCATTGTGACCTTCGTGCGCAGCTGATGTCAATTTTGCTATTAGTCAACGCATTTGTCATTAACTGCCTGCGTTTAATCTATGCGCCGTCTACTATTTACCTGCGTTTTAATACAACAAAAGACCTTCAGATAACTGCACATGTGTAGCATTCAACTTTGCGACAATGTTCCTTTTGTGCCGGTCCGTTGCGAAAGTTTGTAATTCACGAGAGAAATCGCGAGCGTATTTGTCTAAATACGTGTAGCGTTATTACATGAGTCGTGCCTATTACTAGACGATGTGAGCCAAATGAATTTGTTGATAGCTAGTGTAGTCCTGTCACTGAGTGCTATTGTAAACGATATTTAAAAAAACAAATTATATACGCATGTGATGTGTAGTCAGGATTGTAGTTATTACGATGTTATAATATTTTAATTAATTATAATACGTTTAATAGCTCACAATTATTAAATTTTGTTTATACAAACGAATGAGCATCAAACGCGGGTAAGTTGTACTGATTTTAATCGCGGTATCAATGGAATCATTGAGTGTGAATAGTATTACTGCTATGGCCTACTAATCACCCAGAGTGCATAAAAAATAGTAGCGTTCCTACTAGACTAAACATTGAACATTGTTACATTAGTTATTGTCACTGACACACCGTACGAATTTATCTACGCACAAGTTAAACAAAAAATAAAATGGTGAGTTTAGCTCGTACTTATTCTGTCGTGTTACTGACAGAGAGAGAGAGAGAGAGAGAGAGAGAGAGAGAGAGAGAGAGAGAGAGAGAGAGAGAGAGAGAGAGAGAGAGAGAGAGAAGAGACGAAGACGACGACGACGACGACACGACGACGTAACGAACGAACGAACGAACGAACGTAACGTAACGAACGAACGACGAACGACGAACGG